GAACCCTAAACCCATTAGGGTTTTCCCTCACTAGATCCAAGCGCCGCAACTACGTTCTGGCCGTTGGATCTAGTTTCATGATCCAATGGTTCACGAAGCTCCCAGAGTCCCGAGACAGTGTACTATCCGCATGCGTGAATCCACCAACGAAGACCCATGCTGGCCGCCCGACAGCACTCTGATCGAGCACCCACAACCGAGAGGCACCCATGCTGCTCCACGAGCACACCAGACGAGATCTGCTCCACGTATCCCATACCCATAATCTGCAACAGTCTCGAGGGAAACACAAGAGGATGGGTATCCATTTTCCTGCATCGGGAAAGTGAATGGAAATCATCGTTTATCAACAGAACGAAAACAAAAGGAGGGATTTTTTAAAACAGTCCATCAAAAACAAAACAAAGGGGCACAAAAAAAGAGAAAACTAACGAGAACAAGAGAGAATCCAAAAGCAACCAACATCAGAGGCGATTATCGAAGAACAAACGTTCATCGAGAGATAGTTAGTAACACTCATCAACAAAAAAACAAAACCATCCATTAGCAGAACAGAAAAAAAACTAAGGAACTCATTACCAACAACCAGTGGAACCCCAAAACACAGATCCTAGCAATCAACACCCAACCAAAAAATAGAGAAAGCAAAACCACACAACCCATACCTTCCTGAGTCAAAGAGGAGGACCATCACCACCGCCTGGAACCCGAACCTCTTTGTGTCATCAAGGGTAAGATTTTTCAGCTTATGGGTATGGTTATTGCATGGACAGGGGTTCGTGATGTCTGAGTTTTGAAGGGGTTAGATTCGGATTTAGAGGGTAATATGGTTCAAGTTTTAGGTAGAGACGTTTCTTTAGATGGGTGTCTGGTTTTTGGTGGTGAATAGATGATGAAACCGAGTGGGTTTCAAATAGCTTGGTCTTAATTTTAGGTTGGTATTTGGAGGGGTTGTTGTCGGAACGAGGTTAGGTAACGTCTAGGCTCCTCGTCTGAGCGTTGAACGGCGGAGGCCACGGCGGTCGTGACAGCTGGGGGCTTCGGTGAGGGTTGAAGAAGAAGAAGGAAAGGGGAGAGAACAAAATGGCTGGGGGTTTTTGTTTAAGGTAAGATGAGAATGAAATTAGGGTTAAAATTTGCCCTTAAATACCATATATTGAAACGCCCAAACGGCGTCGTTTAGCCAGCTCCAAAACGGCAGCGTTTTGATGAGCAGGGAGAGAACCGTGTTTTAGATAAGTGGGTCAATCTCGTTGAGGGGTATGCTAGTTTCAATTTGTTAAGGTTGGGTCACTAAATCGAGGTTTCTATTGTATTAATTTGGTTCCTATATTTTGAGCGCATTCCGTTTTGGTCCTGAATCGAACTTTACTGGTTTCTGATTTTGCCTTGTTATTTTCAGAGTATTTTGTTTTGGTCCTTAAGTTATGTTGTTCTTCATTTTGTGTTGTTTTCGAATGTACCCTATAATTTTGGTTACCTAGCAATTTAGTCACTCAAAGATTTATTCATTTCAGTGGTTAATTTCTATTTTTGCATGCCTAGTTAAATTTTCTTTCACTGTGGTCCTCTATGGAAATTTTAAATATGAGACTTGAGTTATTAATAGCATATTTAATTTTATGTTGTTTTACTTCAATGCATATATGTATCATATCACCCAATTTTTTTAGGCCTTGTAAATTAATAAAATATATATATCTTAGTTATTAGTTAATTTAGTATGAAAACCATTTATCACATGTTATGTTAATATGGTAATAATAAAATTTTATAATTTTAAAATATTAAGGTTTCATTATCATGTTTGCCAATTAGTCATGTGTGCAAGTGATTGGGTTACTTTAAGCTTAAATGTTTTGTTAATGTGTGGCATTATTTACTTAGTATTTGCATGTTAGCCTCATACGCATAACTCGACATTATTGCATAATTTGATTAAGGGTAATATCCTTTTAATTTAAAATTGTTTTAAGTGGGTTGTCTTAACTGATTAGATATCCGCTTTTGATAACTTTAAATTAAAAGTATATCCTATTATTGACACCTAAAATTGATCCATCACTTTAAAATTTGGGAACGAGAGAAAAGAAATATTCGGCTATTTAAATTTATCGAGAAAAGATAGTTAGAACTTATCTAAGATCTGGTCTTGATATTTATAAATAATCAAATATTCTTTATCTTTCTAAAGGCTCGGTAATTTTAGTTTAATCTTTTTGGTGCTTTTGAGTGTCGCAAAATTTGTATGTTTGTTTTAAGGGATCATAAGTCAAATTAAATTCAATTTGTAAATTTCATTGCAAAGACATTAATTAATCGATGAGGTACCGATTTAGGGCATTGTGGGGGTGCTAATCCTTCCCCACGCGTAATCGACTCCCGAACTCATTTTCTGGTAACGCAAACCTAAATTTGTTGTTTTAATTTAAATTAATTTTTATTTAAAATGACAAAACATTTTTGGGTGTCCAATCACACCCTAATCAAAGATTGGTGGCGACTCTTCGAACCTGTATTTTATCGTGAATGAATTCCAAAATTTTCGAAACGAGAGGTTTTCTAAAATCACATTATTTTTAATTAAAAATCAATCGAAAAGAGAATAATTAAAAATGACATGGGTTTTCAAAATCTCGCTCCCCGTTTTAAAAATCGTTTCGACAACAGGATAAATCATAAAACAAATTTTTTTATTATCTCAGTTTTCACAATTTTGAAGGCAAGAAATTAGATATCTTAAAAAAAATAGAAAAAAAATTACTCTTTTATTTTGATCGAAAACAGTTGAGGCTTGTCGCTACACAATTTCCTTAGGACAAATTTTTAGTCGCTCCTTTGGTGCTTGAAATCTTTAGTCGTCTATTTTGCATGATACAACAACTAAATGATCAACGAACGGTAACACAAATTTCGGAGATCACGAACTATCTTGCCTTCAGCTATCACCAAAAACTAAGAATGAGGGAAAATAATTTTTTCAAGAAAGTAAAAGTTCTCGAATTCTGAGATATAAAAATCCTAGCAGCTTTAATTTAAAATATTCAAAAGATATAGTCACCTTTTAATATTCAAACTTAAGTAGATATTATTTTAATTAAAAATATAATTATATTTTAATATTCAAAATTAAAAAGATAATAAATACCTTTATATCAAAAGAATATTATCTTATTAATATTTACATTAAAGAATATCTTTTAATTTTTAACATTGAAAAAGGTTAAATCCATAAATGAAATCCACCTTTATTCCAATAAATTATATCTTAAAGTTTTTAAAAATAACAATTGTTCTCACAAATTATCTATCAAATAAGTAGTAGACCTGGTCCCGGAAGCGATAAGCTTTACCAGCAAAGTTGGCCCACTTCTCGAAATGCTATGGTATAAGCATAAGGATGTATGTCCATCACTAAATGATGAGTTACGCACTAAGCTCAACCCATACGCACTACCTCGTTCCACTACTTTTTTAATATCCAATCATGCTTTCATTACTCAAATACTTCTTTCCATCTATAAAACTTAAACCAACCCATTCGATAATGCCACTTTAGATTTTTCGGATTTAATAACTTTATAATAATAATTGCTTCTGAAATATTACACATAATCCCTTAATTAGGGTGTAAATGAATAGAGTATTCGATGAATTATTCATAAATAATTTGTATAACATTTATTTACGTTCATTTGTTAAGCTAAATAAATGAGCATTATATAAACGAACAAACACGAATAGAGATTTATTCGATTCATTTATGTTCACGAAGAAGTAATGACATAACTCAACATTACTTTGGGTTTTTTTTAAAAAAAATTATATAAATTAACTAAACTATTTTAGTATTTTTGTCAATGTTAAAATATCATTCTAATAAAAGAAAATGTTATAAATCCTTCAAAATCATTTGTTCAAATAAAATTTAAAGAAACAAAATAAATCGATAATAATGATATCGAGAATTGTGTTTAAATTTTTTATTTTAAGAGATGAATTTTTACAAGCCCACATAATATATATAAATATTTAAAATAAAACCATAAATATAAATTAAATTGAAAAAATATTTTTAATAAAAATATAAATTCAATTTAAAATAAAATTAAAAGTTAAATACTTAATTAAATTTCTCAATTCAAATAATATGAACAATAAAACAAGAAAAACTCAAAATATTTTTTTTTACCTTGAAATCATAAACAACAGCGGAAAATGGATTTGCATTCATTTAAAATAAAACAATAATAAAAAAAATGAATGTTTTTTTTTAATCAATGATATTTAGGTAGTTTCTAAATGTTAAACTAATATACACTTTTTGTGAGACAACCAAATTTAATAACCTATCATATACTTTATGTTTTGAAGGGGTCAAAGTTAAGAATCTAATGATATATAGTAGGGTAACTACAAATTAAGTACCTAAATTATTACTTTTATTTTATTTTGGTATCCAAATTTTATTTTATTCAAAACCATTAATAACATTTAGTTTTGATTTTAATTCAATATCTCGCTATTAAAAAATTAAAAAAGTTGATGATGTTATATTTTTCAATGATATGTGGCATTACCTTATGGTGACATATTAACATCACAGCTAAGTTTTTTTTATAGCTGGATACCAAAATGAAACATAAACTAAACGTTATGTATGATATTTAAAAAATAAAACTTAGATATCAAAACAAAACAAAAATAATAGTTTAGGTACTAAACATATAGTTTACCCTATATATTATATGTATATAAATATAAGTATATTATTTTCTCAATAATTCTTTTGTGGAGGGGACATGCCCCCACTAGTCCTTTAGACGTTCCGCCACTGTGAATAAACTCGTTCATTGATTTGTTTATTTATATCGTGAATAAACTCGTTTAATGACTAATCTTGCCACTTGCATTTCGATATCCATTTGGAGAAAAGAAATTAGTACTTGCACGCATTAATTCACATATACAAAACCTTACTTTTTCTTTATTGTCACTGTTTCTTACGTACATCCAGACTTAGAGGGGACGTATTTTACAAAATTTGAATCTTAAACATCGATATCGTTTTCGAGACTTGAGTTTTTATAAATAGCAACTAATGGTTTGTTGATTCGTCGGTGAAGTTCTATTTTCCGATGATCAAAATATAGAATTCATCCGTGAAAATGAAATGAAACTATGAGGCTTTGTTGTGGTTAAGACGGCATATTGGGTGGGATTGGAGTATGTGCTTTGGAGATGGGAATAATAGTAATGGTGACAGAACATCTACAAAGTGGACAAGTAGAGTTGGAGCGTAGCCAACGATGCATGCATTCCATGTGAAACACATGTTTGCAGGTTGGGAGTTGCAGCAATTCCTCTTTAATCTCAAATTCACCCAAGCAAACGCTACATCTGTAAATACATTTCCCAAAAATATGTTATGCAAATTACAATACAATCAAATATACTATTACCAAGTGTTAGACAAACGTACGAAATAATTTGGGTGGTTACAAAATAAAATCCTTAACAATCTTTCTTAATTATTGACAACATGCATATACCCTATAAATGCAACTGCTTAAATCTGAGACATCAAAGGCGAACAATACTCTCTTTAATCACTGAAGACACTCGATAGATTCGTGTGTGTTTGAAAATTAATGATTTAAAAACAAGTATATTATATGACAATACAAATACACTTTCCAATATTATATCTAATTTATTATTTCCATAGAATATCTTATTATATCCATTGTTGTTGGTCTTATAAAAAACAACCCACACCACCTACTCAGATGGTATTAGTAATCCCATTTGCATCTCCACAGTAACTAAACAGTATTATTAAAATACTTGAAGGCACGGTTTTCCTTATTGACATCGTCATTATTGCTCTGTCTTGCAAGCGACTTCCATATTCTGAGCTATGGAATCCCTTTAAACTACATGGTTTAACAACCTTCACTCGATACTTAAAAATCACAACCACCACAATGTTTCTGACGGTAGTTTTCACCTCTAAGATTTTCTAACTCCATTAGAAGGCCTCCGCCAATTTCTTAAGAGTATATTTAACACGAAGCATAAAGCACCAAAGAAGCGATCTCATTTGTTAAAGGGATAGTTTTATTCTTAGAGATTTCAAGTTCGAATACGACGTATGTAGGAGTGTTTGTACGTTTAGTGTCAAATAGTTTAGAGTCCTTACTATATAATAATCCCAAATTAATAAAAAAGAAAAAGTAAGGATCAAAATAAATAATAATAAAAAAAATGTTAGTCTAATAATCAGAAAGGATATAAGTTATTAATTTCTTTTCAAAGGAAAAGAATGTTTCATTAAACTAGTTGTAATATTGATGAAAGGAATTCAACATGGAATTGATACTAAAGAATCAGGTACCTTTTTTTATTCTTTGATATGGATGGTCCTCATTCATTTGTTGATTTCTCCATTTGCAAACATAATCTTCGAAATACTTTGTGGGTAATAACCATTAATTAAAATGAAAAAGTCATGTGAAAAGCATTAGAGTATGGAAATTAAGCAAATTTTTAAAGTTTTCATCTGAGATGGACACCCAGTTTATGGTCAATTTCCAATCAGTCCTTTTCCACAGAATCATCTTTTATCAATTTCAGCTATATATATATATATAGTCACACTTCAAAAGCACATGGTGTAGGGCATATTGGGATATAGGCAACAGTGATTGCACATAATGTATTATTACTTACAGGGGCCAACTCCCTAATTTTTTGGAGGGTCAGGAGTAAATTAGAATTTGTAAAGAATAAAATATAATTTTACCGTTGCTTTACCTTACTTATAATTTTATTATTTTTAAGAGTTAAATAGAAACTTTATCATTTTGGCTCAGAATATAATTTTGTTACTATCTAAACCTAAAATTTTAAAATTTAAAGGGGGCTAACATAAAATTTTTACCCAGATTAAAACAGTGATGCAAACAACCTCGAATTAACATAAAATAAAATCCGAAAATGATGTTCTAATTATGCCTCCAGTCCTTGTTTGTTTCGACTCTTGGAATTTAGTATCTCTACTTATAATTCCAGGAATTATCTCTTCTTCCCCGACTCAAAAATGAAAGCCCAATCAATAACACTGTTAATTGATTTCCACTGAACTTGACTGTGTTTTCAATTTAGAAAGTGGGAAGAGTACAGAAACTTGGGGAATAATAAACCCAAATGACAAATAGGAAAAAAATAGTTGGGGTGAATACAAGGTAGTATATGATCGAAATACTGTCAATCATTTGACAATGAACGCTCATATACTCCTATAGTCGTTGTGCTCGAACATAAAACCTCAAGGAATAATAATAATCCCTTAACCATTAAAATCGTTTGGTTTGTGTTATGCCTATCCCGGTGCATGATTAAACCGAAAAGGAAAAATATGATAACTTACTGCGTATCCCTAGTCTTCAATTCTTCATCAAATAACACCGTAGGCAGCTTATCGGTAAGCTCCATTTCCAAAGTCAATTGACAAGGCTGCATGGTAAATGCAGATAATTACTTGCAAAGAAAAAACAGTAAAATATGCAAAAGTTATCAATCAATGCATGAAGAATGAATAAGTAGATTAAATATCAGGACTTACCGTGGGGTTAAAATCAGTAGTAGTAGGAAGAACAGGGCGAGAGTTAGAGAGAGTAGATGCTCTTCTCTTGAGGAAAAACAAGTAAAACAAGAGGAAGAGAATGATTGAGAAAAGGATGGGAATTGAGAATATGAATGCTTGGTAGAGTTTAAGCTGAAGAGCTTGAGGATAAAGGTGAGGAGCCGGAGGGGGTTGAGCTTGAGGAACACCCATCGGCTTATACCCTAAAGATATGAAGCTAAAACAAAATGTTTATCTATAATAGAAATGGCAGGGCTATCTCTTGAGTAGGGTTTAGCTGTGTGTAAATATCTAATATAGACGCTGCTCATACTTGTGCTGAAAAGAGGGAAAGATTCTTAAAGCAAAGATGTTAAAATAGTGCACAAAGGACATGATGATAGATTGAAGATGCGACCTGTTCAAGAGGTGGACGATTCATCCGGTCAAGTAAATATATGCATATGTATGCATACGTAGAGCTGTAAATGGGATGAGATATAACACGAGTTGTTCGAAATCGATTCAGTCAAAGCTCGGTTAACTCTTTTATTGAATGGATTCGACTCGAGCACGAACTTTACTCTCCTTAAATTCTTAATGAGCCGAAGTGAGTTACTTAATATTCTTAATGAGCCGAAGTGAGCTACTTAATATCCAGCTCGAAAAGTTTGTGAGCCATTAAAAAATAATAATAATAATACATTAAACTTTTATATTTTTAAAATTAAATTATTAATAATATTAACATTTATATGTTGTTAGCGTTAAATATATATATATAATATAAGACTTTTATGTAATTAAAATCAATGTTCGACTTTAAATTTGAGTTTGAGGTTCAATCAATTTAAGTATGAAAATATTTCAAGTTGAATTCATATAATTTATAAATATATTTTATAATTCATAAATAATAAATCGAGTCATCGAATAAATCAATTCAAATTTAACTTGGAATATTAATATCTAGATCCACATAACCTATGAAAAAGTGTATTGATGATTGTACTTGTTTAGTTACGCAACATTTTCATTAATATTCAGCATGAACACCAGAAGAAAAAGTGATCAATTTAAAATTTAAAATATAAATAATCAAAATTTACACAATAAAAACTATTGATGCATCGAAATTTATTAAAATATAAATATATACTAATTATGCTTATTTATACTAAGAGAAAATACAAAGAAACCATATTTATCCTTTGTCAAGCACATCACTCTCCACTAATAAAGAAGCCATATTCATTCTCACGCTCACATCTTCTAAAGTTGTAAACATGAATCAATCCCATATTCTTTATCATGTCTTAAAAGAAATCCAAAACAAATCTTACATTATTCTAGTCTTGTGCTTAATGGAAAAAATGAAAGTTTAAATGATGACAATTAGGCACCTCCTATTCTCTACTTAAAAACCGAAAAAAATAAATAAATTATTGTGTTTTAGGATTAATTCTTTTGGTATGTAACGATAAATTTAACGTGATAATATAATAATTTTTTATTTTATTCTTTTGAATAGTATGGAGTGATTACAAGTTGAATTTATTTATAATCTTTGCTAGCCATTGACAATTCATACACTTTACAAATACAACTATTTGAATTTAAAACCCAAAAAATAATACTATATTTAATAACTGAAACTACTCAATAAAATATAGATAATGTAATCATAATTAATATATTACAATGGGATCCACACTCATCACACAAATTCAACTTTTTAGTCACCTAATACTAAGAGTTCCTTCTTCTTCTTCCATTTTAACCCTCACATGACAACGAACAGATATTAGATAGAACTGGTTCACTACGTCATCTATGATTCCAATCAATAATATTTGTCTATCTCATTTTTTAAGATGAATTTTTTACCTCTTTCCTACATGTAAATAAAAACTGAGTAATTATTTGAAAAATATTTTAAAATATGTGACTCTTATTCATTACGACTATAGATGATGTGATGAGCTGAATCCATCAAATAATTTATCCATGACACCATATAAGAACCCACTATACTTGGGTCATCATCACTACAACCACTTTCTACTCTTCGCAGAGTTATATTTTGTCTTGAGCAAACAGCTCTTGTTTCACTCTCCACTAATAAGAAGCCATATTCATTCTCCACGTCACTTCTAAGTTGTAAACATGAATCAATCCCATATTCTTTATCATGTCTTAAAAGAAATCCAAAACAAATCTTACATTATTCTAGTCTTGTGCTTAATGGAAAAAATGAAGTTTAAATGATGACAATTAGGCACCTCCTATTCTACTTAAAAACCGAAAAAAATAAATAAATTAGTGTTTTAGGATTAATTCTTTTGGTATGTAACGATAAATTTAACGTGATAATATAATAATTTTTATTTTATTCTTTTGAATAGTATGGAGTGATTACAAGTTGAATTTATTTATAATCTTTGCTAGCCATTGACAATTCATACACTTTACAAATACAACTATTTGAATTTAAAACCCAAAAAAATAATACTATATTTAATAACTGAAACTACTCAATAAAATATAGATAATGTAATCATAATTAATATATTACAATGGGATCCACACTCATCACACAAATTCAACTTTTTAGTCACCTAATACTAAGAGTTCCTTCTTCTTCTTCTTCCATTTTAACCCTCACATGACAACGAACAGATATTAGATAGAACTGGTTCACTACGTCATCTATGATTCCAATCAATAATATTTGTCTATCTCATTTTTTAAGATGAATTTTTTACCTCTTTCCTACATGTAAATAAAAACTGAGTAATTATTTGAAAAATATTTTAAAATATGTGGCTCTTATTCATTACGACTATAGATGATGTGATGAGCTGAATCCATCAAATAATTTATCCATGACACCATATAAGAACCCACTATACTTGGGTCATCATTATCACTACAACCACTTTCTACTCTTCGCAGAGTTATATAATTTGTCTTGAGCAAACAGCTCTTGTTTTTTATATCAATAATTAGTACTATCTTTGAATTATTCTCGATGGCTAACCCAAGGAGCAACCTCCAAAAAGCACGATTTCTAGATAAGTTCTCATAATATTTGATAATCTTCAAGTATTTTTGTATGTTCATAAGATACATTTTCACTTTCTTTATACTTAAAAAATGTGGTTTTATTCATAAAAATTATGGGGCACCATATCCTCATGTGCCTTGTCTACAGCCTATCGGGCACTCCTTCAGGTGCCTTGTTTTTACATATCTGAAGCTCCCTTCGAATGCACCCTCGAGTGCCACCTTCATACACCAACTCAAGTGTCTTATCCACACTTATGACTGCCAATTAAAGTAATAGCATAATCAATCTCTAACATGTCGGAGGTAATAGTGTATTTAACACTAAGGTAATGGTGCAAATGTCGCTAGTCATACATTTAGCCAATTTTTAGTGTGCCAATTCTCCCTAGTCTCGAAAAATGTTACTTTTAGGCTTTCTTCAATTAAAAATGAGTATTTTTTACCATACTATTATGTCAATGACAAGTCATTTTCTCTATGATATGTGTCGAGTTTTTCTCTTTACAATGTGTCAAACTTTTTCCTTCTTTAACATCAAAGCGGTACAAGAATTAAGCATTATGTCTCTCTACCTTATCCTAAAAAGGTGAATAATCTATTATGGTCACAAACTTCATCTTTATATCAAACTTCATGTATTTAAAAAAAACATCAACAAAAAATAGTTTTAAAAAATATTCATTATATAGCCTTCTATCGACTAAGGAGGAAAATTGTTGTATTTATTAGGGTAAACTAAGCATTTAGCACCTAAAGTATCAGTTTTGTCAATAGTTTTAAAAAATATTCATTATATAGCCTTCTATCGACTAAGGAGGAAAATTGTTGTATTTATTAGGGTAAACTAAGCATTTAGCACCTAAAGTATCAGTTTTGTCTATTTTAATACCTAAATATTTAATTTTTTTAAATCATACCTAACATTTAATTTTCATTTAATTTTAGTATCGTGTCGTTAAAAACTTAACGTGTTTAGTACCTAAACTATCTGTTTAGTCCATTTTAGTACCTAAACTTTCATATTTTTTTTTCAAACTTAACATTAAATTTTGGACAGAGTACTAAAATGAAACAAACACTAAAACTTTTAATGACGGGTACAAAATAAACCAAAAACTAAACTTTGGATATGATTTGAAAAAAAAATTAGGTACTAAAACATATCAAAATTGATAGTTTAGGTATTAAATGAATAATTTATCATATTTATTATAATATAATAGTAATTATATACGACAGTTAGAAACAGAAAGATCCAAGATTTGTAAGCCATAGAGCTTTGATAACCCGGAACCCATGCAAGTGGAGGAGCCGCCCGTCACCGAGGTGATGAGGGCGGCAACTGAAGAGAACGAACCTGGAAGAAGAAACAAAAATATTAGGGCATTTGCGGGAGAAGAAACACAAAAGGAAAATACATGGATGAGATCGTGGAAGGATACGGTGATGGAATCATCACTGTACAACTGTACATTGGGATGCTTAAAAACTCCTCAAAGATCGAGGAAGAAGAGTTGGAATCAGGCGAAGAAGAAGAGGATGTTGAGGACGATACCCCGACAATCAAGATTTCCACAGAAAATCAAAGAAAGAATCCGACAACCATGGACGAAAGCTTGAATCATAAAGGTGTTGGGGAAGACAAATTCATACAAAATATTAATGACAAGAATAGGGACAATATGGAATCTAGAGAGCGAATTTGAGTGTATCGATTTGGGGAATGGTTTTTACGCCGTTAAATTACAGAGCCCAAGTGACAGGTTAAAAGTCTTGACAGAAGGTCCTTGGAAAATATTTGATCAGTACCTGACGGTTCAAAAGTTGAAGCCGAACTTAATCGCCAGCAACGCAAATGTACCCTTCACAACCGTGTGGATTCACATTCCTGGATTATCGATTGAATATTTTAACGGAGAAATTCTTGCTATGATAGGTAAAGTGGTAGGAACACCGCTGAAAGTGGACTACAATAACCAGGGGAAAATTCGCAAGAATCTGTGAGGAAGTTGAACAAGCCACTTCTATGCAAAATTCGAGTAGGTAGTATGGTGTTAAACATAGAATACGAAGGACTTCATTTGATATACTTTCATTGTGGAATAGTTGGTCACAGAGCAGTAGATTGTCCATTAAAAATTGTGGAAACTAGTATATCCGAAGAGGAGAAAAGAACCAACACTGTCCAAGAACAGCAGGGAGAAAAGAAGGAAAGATTAACCATTATAGGAAAATACGAAAATCAAAGAGTGTACTGAAAGAAAGCATGGACCCTGGATGGTGGTCCAATTTCACCAAGAATCAGGGAAAGAATAAGCGTGAGAACCAGACAGAGAACAGGTTAGAAATCTTGAACCATGGAAACCCAGAGACCAATAACGAGGAAGAAGAACAAAACGAACAAGAACAAAGAATGGTGGAGGAAACATTCAAAACAGAGAAAAAACACCAAGAAAGAAACTTTCTACAGGACTGGGTGGAGGAAAACAACCTATCAAAAGATAAGGAGAATAGCAAGAGCAACTCAAAGAATAACAGGGGAAAAGAAGGGTGCTCAAAACACTTTGAAACTAAGAATAAATCTAAGACAACAACAACCAACGGAATAGAGGAACGTGTTAAGGGCATGAATAAGACGAGCCAGAATGAAACGCTTAGTAGCAATCCTACTGCAAAAATGCTAGGTAAACAGAAGGTCAACGAATTGGTGGAAAAATGAGAAATGAGACCACCTGACAATATGAACATTGATAGTGAACTAGAAGAACATATGCAAGATGAACATAAATGGAATAATTCCACGACCCAGAAAAGAGAAACCTAGGGGATTGTCATTCGATCTCCCCAATATGTATGGATACCACTCTTAATGCGCAGGAGTCCCAAGTGTGGGAAGACCAGAGTTCATTCGAAATTGCAAAAATCTAATCTATGATGAAAAACCTGATATTATCAGTTTGTTAGAAACCAAAGAAAAAAGAGGGGACTGGTAAGACACTCCCGAAAAAATTGAGATTTGAAAATCAGTTCAAAGTACCTGCTCAAGATTTGAAAGGAGGTTTGATTATCCTTTGGAACTCAAGTCAAATAGATGTAGAAAATTGCTATTCGACTGATCAAGCAGTGCACTGCGAAAGTAAAGAGAGGGAGAAGACTTGGCTGACTTCGTTCATCTATGTTCAACCTCGCACAAATAAGAAAAAAGAATTTTGGGAAGACCTAAGCAGCCTTTCTGACACCACGACAAACAGTGGTGAGTGGTGGGAGGTTTCAACGATTTTGCTGCTTTAAATGAAAGAGAAAGAAACGATTCTAATTGCCTCGACTGAATTGTTAAATTCCAAGAAAGGTGGGATAGAAGTAATCTTATGGATACCAGATGTATGGGAAGTAAGTTCATATAGGTCAGAATGATTCATGGTAAGGTAGTTCTCTAAGAACGTCTGGACAGAGCTCTTCAAAACGCGGATCCCGTAACTTTGTTTCCTAACCTTCGAACAATCAACTTACATAGAAGCTACTAAGATTAGATTCTTGTAATCACCAATATGGATTATAAGATGAATAAAGAGAAGAGACCGTTCAGATTTGAGGTAGCGTGGCTAACCCACCAAGATTTTCAAATAGTCTTGAATAATGCTTGTAACAAAGAGAAAGATAATTTAGCCGAAGCGGTGGCTGTAACTAAGAAAGACATCCAAGAGTGGAAAGAGGGATCCTATTGAGATATTTTTAAATGCAAGAGAACCATTCTGAATCGACTAAAGGGAATTCAATACTCGAAAATTTGTCTGAGATCTATATAGTTGCAAGAGCTTGAAAACAATCTAAATAAGGAATATCAGCAGATCCCAGCCCAATAAGAAATCCTATGGCTCAAAAATGGAGACTTGATTGGGTTTTAAAAGGCGAACGGAAGACTAGGGCTTTTCACCTTACAACCATCATTCAACGAAAGCGAAACATAATTTTGGGTCTGTGGGTGGACGAAAACTGGTGCATATATCAAGTTGACCAGAGCAAACATGCGGTGGACTATTATTAAAATCAGTTTAACAGCAAAGATTCCATCGAGTTGAATGAACCTTATGATAAATTCAAGCCGATTATGAACGCAGAGGAGAAGAGAAACATCACTAAACCTGTTACGATTGAAGGAATTAACATCACTCCATTTTCAATGAAGGGCCTCAAAGCGCCAGGACCCAGCGAATTTAGTCGATATTGTATAAAAGAAACTCTCCTAAATTTTGTCAAGCTGGCTGTTTAATCAAGAGTCACAGATCTGGAGATTCTAAAAGTTTACCTTGTTCTCATCCTAAGATTGGAGGTAGCTGACAGAATTTTGTTGTTCCATCCGATCATTCTATTCAAACTTCGTACAAAATCTTATCTAAAGTCATGGTTCAACGAATGCGACCTGCTCTCCAAAAACTTATCAGTCCTTACCAAAACAGCTTCCTGGCAGGCAGGAACTCAACACAAATGAAGTGAGAACGAGGAAGAAAATAACTCAAGGTACGACATATAAGGAGTGTGATACTAAGAGAATGCAAGATAGCCAAACAAGTCTGACAAGATCTTAAGGCTCACCAAAATGATGACCAATTCGAAACCAGGGAACTCACAGGCTGGCTAAAACTTAATAGTCAATCAAAGAGAACCAACGAAAATGGTGGCAGTTGGGGAACCCTATTCTCAGCAACAATATGGGGACTATGGAAAAACAGAACTGCAATGTCTTCAACAATAAAACCAGAAACCCAACGATCATCAAACAAAACAGTAAAAAACTAACAGAAGGCATAAAAGTAGCTATAGAGAACACACAAAGAAAAGTTATCGATGAACCGAGATGGGGAAAATGGAGGAAACTACCACAATGAGCATGGATCCTCAACACGGACAGAGATTGTAAGGGACAATCCGGCGTTGCTGCAGTAGGTGGCCATTTTAGGGATGAAAACGGTGATTGGAAAGAAGGATTCATCATGCAAATAAGGAATTCCAACAGTCATGATGCGGAAGTCTAGGGAGTTAGACAGTCTCATTCTTGCAAAAGCCTTGGGGGAAAACAACCTAATCGTCGAGCCCGACGCTAATTGGGTTATGGAAATCCTGAATAAGAAAGCTGTTGAGGATGAGCAGAAGTCATGATAAAAGACTGTGAAAAGCTCTGCCAAGCAGGATAGGTAACAAAGGTGAGACATACTTGGAGAGAAGGCAATAGGAGCAAGGTTTCAAATCTCGATCGCGTTTTCTGTTATTTCGGATTGATCGTGATTGCGGCTGTCGCGGACATCTTTACAACCGTTGCGGTAATTCGGACTGCGATGAAACCGCTATATCGCAGACGAAATCGTGGTTACGGACCGTTTTTTAAAACCCTGAATAAGAGTGCCGACTGCATGGGGAAAACTACGTTGGATAGGGCGCGCAAGGGGTACAAGTTCTCACTGAGCCACCGGTGGAGGTTTTACCGTTTCAAAGAGCAGACGCTGAAGGAACTGTTTTACTAAAAAAAGTAGACTGAACTGTAATTTTCAATTCTAATGTACCAAAAAAAAATACGACAGGTGTCAAATGGGTCGTTCGGATGGTATTTAAGTCGAGTCATTTTGATTATAGATTATATTCGGTTTAATTTTATTCAGTTCAGATCGAATCTGATTCAAATTTAGTTCGGATATATGGTAAATCGGATCAGGTCGGGTCGGGTCAATTTTTGGGTCTAGTGATTATTGGGTCGAGTGATTATCGAGTCTGTTATTTTTTGGTTCGATTCAAAATTGATTCAATTAATTTTTGGGTTGGGTTAATATCGGATCAGTTAGATGTTGTACATGTCAAAATATGATTTGTTAATTTTCAGTTAGGATTAACCTTTGGATCATGTCAATTCGGGTTAAATTAGTTGAGTCTAATTAGGTATATATATATATTCTTCTAAAAAAATATGTCTTTGCTTGTCAATCTTATCATTTACACTTAATTTTAATTCTCAATCATTTAATATTTTAATTTAAATTGTTATTTAGAGATGATAATTTGACACAAATATATAACGCGTGATAGAGTTTGTTACCAAAATTTTATACCGATCATGTCCGAAAAATTTATAATGAGAACTATTTGATAAAGAAATAATTTTTTATTAAAATTTCTATTTTTAATAAAATTTTTCAATAAGATATTTAGTGGTTAATTATAAATTTAATATTTTTATTAGATTTTAAAAATAATACATAAGTAAAATTTCTATTATTTTTATTATAAAGCTAATTTTTTTATTAAAATGTTAACATTATTTAAATAAAATTATTATTAAAATAAATTTCATTGTTTGAATTAAAGTAAAATAAATTATATGTTAATCATACAACTTTTGGTAGTAACTTTACTTTATACTTCTTCATATTAAGAATTTTTAATTGTTTTTAGAAATTATCGAATAAAATGTGAAGATAATCTTTTAAACAAAAAATGATATTAGACAATTAAACTATTGTCAAAGGTGATATTGATATTCATTAAACTATTATCAAATGTGGTGGTTAATTAGGAGTATAATTCAAAAAGATAAAATAAAACATGTATTATTTTACTATTAATCACATTGTTAAAATATATATAATAACAATTAATTATTCATTCACTTTTACTCATTTATCAGTTCAAAAATATTAGATTTGGGTAAATTAAATTCGTATTATTTTCGATTTGGGTTATTTTATTTCGGGTTACTTTTAAGTTTGGATTACTTTTGGTTCAGTTTAATTTTGATTCGGATTCCTTCAAGATTAGGTTAAATTGGGTTTGGATTGTTTTCGATTCATGTTGTTTTGGGTTAGGGTTGTTTTTGGTTCATGTTAATTTCATTCAGGTTATTTTCAGTTTAGATCAAATTAGAATGGGTTCATATTGGTCCAACAAAATTTTGGATCGGATATAGTTCAGGTCATATATGATTTAGATTTCGGATCAAATTTTATTATTATGTTCGGGTTAATATCGTGTATTAGGTCGGGTAAATCAATTCAATAATCAGGTTTGGGTGAAGTTTGCAGGTCTAACGACAGTGAGACCCCCACACCTATCATACCGTGTCATTTTTTACAACCACCTTATGAGCAGGGATGTTGCTCAGAGGTTACATGATAATTCAATACTCTTCCTCTCCCTATAAACCCCCCCCCCCCCCAACTCCAACAGTAAGGGTTCACTTTTCTTCTCCTTTCAAGCTTCCTATGGCTTCACCCAATAAACCTTATTATTTTTATGAGTAATTTTTTGTGATTACAATGTAATATTTATTCAAAATTCTTTTTAGTAATTGACAATGTACATACACTCACGAACACAACAATTTGAATCCAGGACCTCTAAGAAAAAAATAATCATTTTAACCACTAAAACTAATCTTATTTAATTCATCACCACCACTACAACCATCTTACGAGACTTTATATATGGACACATAAACCATATGAATTTCCTAGAGTAATTAACTACCACTTTCCCGCAAACAAATTTTATAATGAAATTAGTTATTCTAAATCAAAATCAAATATTAATTTAAAATTATATTCTAAATTTTTATACCAATTAAAATTAAAAATTAAATATCTAAAATTATTGATCTATTAATTTTGTAACCCCCTAGATATTAAGATCAAATCTTGACGACCACACATTTTAAATTAACGGAAGTCATTTGCA